AGGATAGAACAGCGTTTAGGGCTGTTATTCATAGGGTCATTATGAGTTGCAAGCAACTTGATGGCACATAACAACAACAAAAAAAATAAGAATAGATAAGACCATTCTCGTAACCTTTTTGGACAGTTTCATATCTCTCAAACCTCTGCTTTGCCCGTTCCCTTCTTCCTCCATCCTTTGTGATTCCCATGACCCAAGACAAAAACAATGAACGTGTGCTCAGGAAAGCAAAGAGCAGAGTCTAAAACAAGAAACAAATGATTCCGAGTAATGCTCTTCAGTCATATAAGGGTCTTTAGACCAACTTCCAAAGTCTAGCTTCCTATGCCTGAGCCTTTTATGATTTTAATAAACCACAATCATAAAATGCAGTCAAGTCATGCCTAACAATCCATTTGAATCCTTGGAGAGAATGAGGAAATTAGGCATAGAGGAGGTTGTAGTGGCCCAAGAGAACCCGGACAGGAAAGGGCAGAGCTAAGAGCTTATTTCCTATGAAGCATGTCTTGCTTGTTAACACCTGTTTCTCCCCAAGAGGAAAGAACTGCAGAACTTGTCAGAATCTTCAACAGAGACAGGGAGGTGTCTCTGGAGAAAACAACCGGTCTGTTTCCAGGCTCTTGTGTTCTTTTCTCCATCAAAATAACAACACTAAACTTCTCTCTTTCCCATTCTCTGTGCAGCCAAAGGGGTTTCGACGTTACTACAGCTCTCCCTTGCTCATTCATGAACAGTTCGGATGCATTAAAGAAGTTATGCCCATAGGTAAGTTGGGGTATTGATGGGTTAAAATGGGTTTTCAGCAGCAATGGCCATGCTAATGGCTGTTGTTCCCCAAGTCCCACAAAACAAAAACAAAAACAAAAAAAAACACCCATAGGGTGCTTGATGTATTTGGTGACTTTTTGGATTTTGATTGTCTTACTGCCTAGAAAGTAGGATTTTCATAATTATCTCAGTGAAGCTTTAGAAATAATAAAGTTAGAGAAATACTTCATACAGCATACCACCTGTCAACAGCATGGTAGACAGAAAGACCATGAGACGTGGTATCCTCTAAAGCTGGTTTATAACAACCCAAGTGCCCATCAACAAACGAATGGATAGAGAAGCTCTGGTATATTCACACAATGGAATACTATGCTGCATTGAAAAACAAGGAACTCATGCAATATTATACAAAATGGGTGACCCTGGAGGACATTAGGCTGAGTGAAATATCTCAGTCACAAAAGGACAAATATTCCATAGGGCCACTGTTGTAAAACGGGACTGACATCGGGGTTGAGGGAAGACAGAGAAGGAGGGGAGGAAGGATATATACTACATCGAAACAGATGAGGGAGAAAACTATTTAAAAGAGATATATGATTGGGTATTGTCATGACAGGAGTCCAGAACAAAGGCTGCACTGTGGAGTGGATTTGGAGGGAGAGATTGCATAACAATGAAAGAGTTTTCCTTTTCAAGGAGAAGAGTGAATCGGTGCGTGGAGATGTGCAGGGAGAAAAGTGCCACAGTGAATGACTGGAAATCTTAAGGCTCTGTAAACTTTCAGTAAAATTAATAAAAAATTAAATTGAAAAAAAGTAAATGAAGTCATAGTACAAGTAAACTTAACTAAATATAAATGCTGTATGTCTAAAACTACAAAATGTGCATTTAAAAAAAATCAGAGAAGATATAAATAAATGCATTTTTAAAAGCTGGTTTATAGCTCAGCCTTCCCATTCACCCGCTGTGTGTCAGTGAATATTTCAGTCACGCTATCAGACTCCATAGAGTGATGATGATGATGTTGTTAAGTGCCGTCCAGCTCTATTTCATAAATGTTGTAAAAATAAATACCGTTCACATTCAGATGCTTAGGAGCAATTCAGTGAATATCAGTTACTCATTAAAGGGTACAAAGCAAATACCCCTCATTTATAGATGGCTGACTTAGATTTCTCATTTAATAATATCTTTCCTTTTACTTCTATTTCTTTTACCCCTGAAAATATGTACATATGTTTTTGCCTCTTTAGAGGTAATCTTTAAACTGACAAGTTTTAGACTAAGGTTTGCATCAGCGGTTCATGAAACCTGTAATATGTTCAAAGACACTTGCTTCTAAGTACACATTTTGCCTCAGACCTTTTTATCTTGATGAGCAATGCCTCCCTCAGAGGGGGAAAAAAAATGAAGTCTTTATAAGACTCTTAAAAGTGGAACCTTGGCAATGAAATCAAAGATGTATATAAACATTTAGTCCAAAAGACGAATGGACCATGCAAACCTCACCCCATCACTGTGGCCAAAAGGTCCCAATGGTGTCCACTCTAAAAGGGATTATAGAAGAAAGCTCTGTACTTTCAGACAGAGTGTCTGAAAACTGGACCAAAACTCAAAAATGTAACTGTGGCAAGATGAGTGGAAACCCTGATGCTGTGGCCCTTTGTCACTCTTCAAGTCCTGAACAAGACTCATCCCCGTATACTTCAAAAAGAGAAAGTCCTGTAAGGTAAACCTAACACCAGGGAGGTCCACAGTGTTTCTAGCATTCAACCATGGAAGACCAAAAGGGCGGCATCAAAGGCCGGCAGTTCAAATCTACCACCTGCTCCACAGGAGAAAGATTCACTGGAGGGTCAACATGAACTTGGTCCACCTTGACAGCATGCAATGACAAGAACGATTGACAGAAATGCAAATCAAAGGAGGAAGCTGGATGAGGTGGTATTGGAGGTGGTGTTGTTGTTAAGTGCCGTCAAGTCTTAGGCGACTCATAGCGACCCTATGAACAAAAGTCCTCAACACTTGTGTGACGTTGTTTCTCCAGGTTCATAGGGTTTCCGGAGGCAAGCTATTACGGAAGTAGATGCCACTCCTGCTTCCAAACTTGTTTTAATCAGGGAGCTCCACCAAACACTGTCCACCATGGGTAACCATTACCGCATTTGACACGTCAGTGTCGCAGTGTTCAGCATCACAGCAACACGAGTTAGCTCTGTATGGCAAGTGGACACACTAGGGCTATACAACCTAGAAGAATGTCCAGACACAATTAGAAAGAGGCCTGAGGGCCGCGGATTAGTCACCCACCTTTGACTTGGTACCATCACGTTCAGTCCACTAGGCCAGCTGGTCTCTATGTTGTTAAGTGCCATCGAGTCATAGGCAACTCATGGCAACCCTATGAACTAAAGTCCTAGACACTGTAATTAGTGTCATAAAACAAAATGTATATGGATGATTGAAGGGGGGAAGGGAAGCAATTTGCTATGTAAACTTTTACTCAAATTACAGTAGGGTAAAAAAAAAACAACTACAAAAAACAACAAACCAACAAACAAGATTTGAGAATGGCTGATCACAGAGGAAAACCACTCAAGAAGAGACAGGAAGTAGAGCATTCTTATTGGGTGTTGGGAGTCCAGGAGATGGTCGTGTTAGGAGAAGAGGGAACTTGTTGGAAGAGTTCGTATAAATAAGGAGAGCTCGACTCCCAAGTCCCCACTTCCCCAGGGCAAGTTGAATCCACAGTTTTGAACCTACTGCACACGTGCTGTCAACCCAGGAGACTCGGTCAGGGGGGCTGGTTCGATTCCTGACAGGGAGCTGAGAAAACCTGGATCTCAGACGGACTTTCTCTTCTGTTGCAGCCTGTGGCAATAAGGTGGACCCTGTCTACGAGACCCTCCGCTTCGGGACCTCCCTGGCCCAGAGAACAAAGAAGAGCAGCTCAGGCAGTGGCTCGGAGTCACCTCAAAGAACCTCTGTAATTGTCCTCACCCTCCCTCCGTCCTACCTATAGGGGTCCAGGGCGGTGCTGGTGCCTTGATGCTACTGTACCAGAAACACCACAAGTGGGTGGTTCTAAGGAACAGAAAGTTATTTTCTCACCATTTAAGAGGCCTCTAGCCTGAGTAGTAGGTTCAAAACTGTAGATTCAATTTGCCCTTGGGGAAAAGGGGACTTAGTAGTCAAGGTATCCGTATTTATGAACCCCTCCAACAAGTTCCCTCTTCTCCTAACAAGACCATCAGTGCATCAGTTCTAAGGGAAGGCTTTCTGTCTCTCTACTCTATGGGAGAATTCTTGTCTCACTTTTATACATTGTCTTAATGATGAGTGGAAATAAACAGCTACATACTGTCTTGGTTTTCTAGCTGTTCAACAGATGTATCACAAGTAGGTAACTTCAACAAACGGAAATGGCTTTCCACATAGTTTAAAAAGCTAGAAGTCCAAATTCAGGACGCTAACTCTTGGAGACGGTTTTCTCTTTCAGTTGACGACAGGATAGGAGTTTCTCTGTCCCTCTTCGTTTTCTGTGTCCTTGTCCTTGGCCATGTTCATATGAACTCCCGTCCTCTTTCCCCATTTGTGTTTGCTTGTTTCTTGCTTCTGTTCCTTCTATTATCTCAGAAGCGATCAGCTTAAGCCATCTCCTGTACTGTTATGGCCTCATTAACATCACAAAGAGAACTCTAAGCTCAAATGATGTTACATTCACAGATACAGGACTTAAGAGTCACGTGGTTTTGATGGACACAGTTCAACCTCTGTGTGTCTTCTCCTATTTCACGGACAATAAGGAAATGATCTAGATAAGCTCATAGATGAGAATGATAAAATATAAATAATAAAGGTAAATGATAAAAATAATGAAATAATAAAGAAAATGGAATTCAATAATAAATAAAAATAAATACTAAAGCTCTAGATAATAATGATGCCACATGGGTGGTGAAGGACTTGATAGCAAGATGGAAATTGTTGACCTTCAATAGACATTTGCTTCAAAACTGTGTAGGTATAATTTGTGATATTTTTAAGGTCCCAGAATGCTAATGATCTCCCTACAGAGATTATAAATCAAATTGGCAGTCCAAATGGTAATGCTAATTCATTTTCTAAAGGAAGGATAGAAATAGTACTAAATGTGGTAAGAAAAAAAATACAAAGTGCATCTGGATAGGATTTGTATTTAAATTAATAAGCGAAGGCTGTGTGGGTTGAATAATAATACTGATAATGAATGCAAAGTGTCTAGCACTGGGCCAGGCATAATAGGCACTAAATAAATGCAAGTCGTTGCTGCTCTATTTTCATTAAGCATCAGCTGGATATCCTCAGAACTTGAGTGATGGGGAAGTAAAATGAGGGGGTAACCTAGTAACAAGGCAAATGCATTATCTAAGAACATTTCCCCAAAGCCTTGAAAGAACCCATCCTCAGGCCCTGTGGGAAATCCCTGACCTATCGGGCATTCTGCCGTGATCTCCAGGTTGGCCCATCTTCTGATGTACCCTGCAGCCAGCCATTCCTTAAACAAGGTGAATGATACTGGAGTCTATCCTTGCCTAGTTTTCTCATTCATCATGTCTTTCTTGGCTGGTTACATTCTTCCTGTCCAACCACTCTCTTTAAATATAGGAGTCTCATAGCTATTTAATCTCAACCGGGGCTTTGAACCAGTTCATTTTGGTTCAACCTCTTGCTGAAATGGCATTTTCACCACAAATACATTGAATAATAATCTACTATTTAACCATATCCCAATAGTGCATATGCTGGAAGGTCACCTGGAGGTCTTGTTAAACTATACATTCTGATTCAATATTTCTGGCCTTGCTGTTATATGCTGTCAAGTCGCTTGTAAGTCATAGTGACCATGTGTACAAGAGCCCTAAACCCTGCTCTATCCTGTGCCAACCTCACCATCTCCGACACACTCACTCCCACCATCCCAATCACTGAATCGATCCATCTCATAGAAGGTCTTCCTCTCTTGCACTGTCCCTCCACCCTCCCAAATATGATGTCCCTCTCCAAGGACCAGTCAGTCCCTCCTTGCAACATGCCCAAAGTATGTCAGATGAAACTTCAGAATCCTTGACTTCAAGGAGCATTCCAGCTTCACCCTCTCCAAGACAAACCTGTTTGTTCTCCTAGCAGTCCTAGACATGCAAATTCAGGGCCTCAAATAAGAATGAATGCATTTGAAACCCTGATCCTGATTTCTTCCCCAAGCTTCCAGTCAGTCCCTACAGATACTTCAAAATCGGCATGTCAAATTAAACTCACGTCCTAACAGGTGCTTAGGCCTTATTATTCAGAACTGAGAAATACCTGTCACGTGCACCCTTTCTCCCAATCACCAATGCTGGGTACACAGTTTAGGACACCAGTACCTCTCATGTAGGTTTTTTTAGAGGAATAACTGTGCATCCCACTTCCTTTTGATTCTACCTTTAGCTGTACATCTAGATTTCTCCTCAAAAAGAAGGAGGGAGGGAGGGAGGGAGGCAGGCAGGCAGGCGGAGGGCGGGCGGGCAGGCCTGAGGCACCATCAGTAATTTAACAACTCTGTTGATTCATTTGTGCCACCTTTTTTGGGCACTGGGAATGAATATGGATCTCTCCCCGTCTATCTTCCAAATTTCCTCCCGCAAACTGACGAACACTTCCAGGACCGCATGGTTTGTTGAAACATCAGTTGCTGTTGCACCAACTCCTCAGACCTTGTTTTTTCTGCCAGTGATCTGTATACTGAGAAAATCACTGGAGATGCTTGACTAAATGAAGAAGAATGTGGCATCAGATTAGGGGGAAGATTCATCCGCAACCTGCATTATGCAAATGACACACCCCTGCTTGCTGAAAGTGAAAAGGATTTGAAACATTTGCTGTAGAAGATCAAAGGTTACAGTCTTCAATGGGGATTACATTCCAGCATCGCGAAAACAAAACTCCTCACCACTGGGTCCATAGACAGTGTCATGACGGAGACAAGATTGAAGCCTTCAGTTATTGCCTCTGCTTCAGTCCACCCTTTGTAGCAGCAGTCAAGAAACCAAAAGGCATTGGGAAAACTCTGACATTGGGAGAGGTCAAGGACCTCTCCAAAGTGCTTCAGAGCAACAGTGTCAGTTTAAAGACTGAAGTGCACCTAATCCAAGCCACAGTATTTCAGTTACTGGCTGTGCATCTGAACGTCGCACAGTGAACAAGGGTGACAGGAGAAGAATCAGCACCTTTGAGTTGTGATGCTGAAAATGTCGAAGCCCACATCTGCCAAAAAAAACCCCAAACGTGTCTTGGAGAAAGGGCAACGAGGGGGTCCCTGGAGGCAAAGATGGTGAACTTTGGTCTCATATGCTTTTGGTATGCGGTTAGGATGTCAGTCCTTGAAAAAGGACATCAGGCTCGGGAAGGTGGAGAATTCTCAAAAGAGAGGAAGATCCTCAATGAAACGGGGTGACACGGCGACTTAACAATGGGCTCACACGCGTTAGAGATGGTGAGGACGGCACGGCAGAGCACAAGGTTCAGATCTGTAATTCACGGGGTAACTGAGTCAGCCCAGAAGTGGCTACGAGCCCGGCCCTCTGTTCTCAGGCCTGCGAGTGAGTTCGTGAAGCTGCCCTCAGAGGGAGTAAACCTAGGCCCTGGCGGGGCTCACGTTGGTTGATGGGGCCTTCCCCCACTCTGGGGATTATTAACATCGGGGGGCACCGCTCCCCATTATAAAAAGCCACTCATGCTTAGGATAAGCTGACTTGACTCCCCTGCTCTCCAGCGGAAAGCTGGCCAGAGCCTCAGTGGTGCCCACACTATTTAAAAAAAAAAAATGTTATTTATGCAACAAGCTGTTTCTCCGGAGTGAAGACTCAGCCCTGAGAAGTGCTTTGCAGTCCATTGAAGGAACTGCTGCTCTGTGACTTTTGAAGGATTTTGCAGTAAAGGCCTGATCTTTCTAATAAAAAAAAGAAGCACCTAACAACATCGTTCTATCAGGTCACATGGATGCAATGATCATATTACCATAGGCAGCCAAGCTGACTCTCAGCCTTAACCATCACTTCTGCCGCGAGCAGGAGTCAGCTCAGGGCCAACTACCAAGTGGTAGATACATGATTGCTTCGTGGTGATCTGTTCCTGAACGAGATACTGAGCAAGTCTAGTTTGCTGCCCTTACTTATGTCATTATCACCAGACCCTGGCATGGGCTTGGCACAATCATGGACACCTAGAACACGCTGGAAGAATGAAGAGAGGATTAACAAGGGATATTTGAAGACCTCTTTATTTTGTGTATGTGTACCGTCAAATCGGATCTGACTGGTACGGAAAGAGATTGCTTCTCCTCCAGCACAGCATCTGGTGGATTCAAACTGCATACCTCTTGGATTGCAGTGCAGCTTCTTGCCACTAGGCCACCAGAGCTCCACTGAAGGAAGGCCTCTTTTAAACCCCTCAGACATCCTCACAGTACTTCGTTCCATACCCCCGAAGCTCCGGTACAGTTTGCCCTGTATTTGCACCATCTCTATCTATTTGCAGGCAATACCTTTCTGAGCTTCATGGCCTGATGTGGGCATCCTTTCTGTAGGTTTCCGCAGCATCCGGTTTATTAATTGTAGTAATTTGCACATTTCCATGTAATTTTATTTATAGCTTTGTTTTCCCCTATATCCCTTTCTTTAACTTGACTGAGCTACTGAAATGCAAGGACTCCCTTGTCACATTGTTTTCTCTTACTCTACACCAGTGACTCTCAAATTTCAGTGAGTAGCAGCCTCTCCCGGAGACCTTTGTAAAACAGAAAAGCCCCGGCCGTGTATGTCCTCAACAAGCCAGTGGTCTTTAGTAGCTCTCCAGGTAACTCTGATGTGTACCGAAGTTTTCAGACCACCGGCTGACAAAATGTTGGACCATTGTAAATTCTCAAGAAAAGTGGGTGACTGAACGAATGGACTTCCCCCTCAGTCAGACGTTTTCAGCTTTGTCAAAGGCCTCAGCTTGCAGTGAGTGAAGTCAGTGCTTCCCAGCATGTGGTCTCCTCATCAGCTTCACCTGGGAACTTGTTAGAAATGCAAATTCAAGTGTTTCACATCAGACTTCCAATACTGGAAAAGCTGGAGGTGGACGCCTGAAGTCTGTGTTTTAACATCATCATCATCACCACCACCACCTCCGGAGACGCCAGTGCCACCGAAGTATGAGAAGCACTGAGTTAAATTAAGACTTTAAGGTTAGGAAATCAGCTCTTGGCAGCCGTCACCACGTTCAGTGTCATAATCTCCCTTACTGCTCCTTCTCTCTGCAAATGCCTTTTGAATCACGGATGTACAGTGGCCTTCAGGCTGGAAGGAAAGTTGGAACAGAGACTCAAGAATGCCAAGCATGTCTCTCACCCTACATACCATACCACGCTATGCCTCCTTTTCAGGCGTGTGAATGCAATCCTAGGAGTCAGGACTTCTTAAAGGTACAACCACTGCCCTAAAAGCGAGTTTGACCTACACAAGCTTTGTGGTTGTTGTGCAGTTTGACCTATACAAGCTTTGTGGTGGTAGTGGTTGTTAGCAGGTTTTTGCATTGGGAAAGTCTGCTGTCATAGGCCTCTCCAAGGTACTGAGGAGCAACGATATCAGTCTGGAGACTAAGGTGTGCCTGATTCAGGCCATGGTCTTTGCCATTACTTGCTCTGCGTCAGAGAGCTAGACAAGGACTAGGGATGATAAGAGGAGAGTTGATGCCTTCGAGCTGTGGTGCTGGAGAACAGTGTTGAATATACCATGGACTGCTAGGAGAACAACAAGTTCATCCTGGGGAGGGTGAAGCCAGGCTGCTTCTTGGAGGCAAGGATTCTGAAGCTTCATCTGACATACTTTGGATATGTTTCAAGGAGGGGCCAGTCCTTAGAGAAGGACATCATGCTTGAGAGGGTGGAGGGACAGCGCAGGAGAGGAAGACCCTCGATGAGATGGATTGATTCAGTGACTGGGATAGTGGGGATAGATGTGTCAGAGACAGTGCGATTGGCACAGGATAGAGCAGGGTTTAGGGCTGTTGTACATAGGGTCGCTATGAGTCACAAGTAACTCGACGGTACATAACAACAACAACAACAACGAGACCAGTGTGCACCTTATCCAATCCATGGACTTTTTAATTACTTCCTGTGCATCTGAAAGTTGGACAACGGATAAGAGAAACCAAAGAAGAATTAGTGCATTTGAGCGGCATCAGTTAGTGCTGGAGAAGAGTATTCAATGGACCACAGACAGAACAAACCAACCTGTCGTGGAGGAAGTGTAACCAATATGCCCTAGAGGCCACGATGGTGACACTGTGTCTCATTTGGGGCATGTTTTCAGGAAGAGACTGTCCTTGGAAAAAGGTGTCATGAGGGAAAAGGTAGAAGATCTGTGAAAGAGAGGAAGAGTCTCAAGGGAATGAAGTGATAGAGTGGCTGTATAATCTATATCTAATACTGTATAATATAATAATATTGTCTGACCTGTTCCATCAGTGGACGCAGACATCACGGGGATCACGCAGCGGGCCAGTGTGCAGAGCTGTTACTCACAGGGTTGCTGAGTCATTGTAAACAGACTCGCAGTACCTGACAACAATAGGTGAAAGGTTGTGGTGGTGGTGGTGGTGGTGGTGGTGGTTGTGTACCGTCAAGTCAGAACCGACCCATAACTGACCCTCCAGCAGGTTTTCAGAGGCAGTTAATCACGACGGGAGGAGATTGCCCATCCTTCTCCCGCAGAGCAGCTGGTGGATTCGAACCACATGCCTACAGACCGCCGCGCAGGTTCGTACCACTAGGCCACCAGAGCCAGTATCTGTATAATCGGGGTGCTCCGGTGGCCTAGTGGTAAGAAGCGGTGCTGTAGTTCTGCAGGCAGACGATTCGAGTCCACCAGCGGCTGAACAGGAGAAGGATGGGTGATCTCCTCTCATGCGATTGGCTGCCTCTGAAAATCCGCTAGGGTCAGCTGTGAGTCAGTTCCGACACTGTGGGACACGATAACAAGACACATATAATCACCCTACTCAGTGTGAGGACAAGCATCCCTTCTGCTTGTGTGAGGTTGGCTTTGGTAGAAGACAAATGAAGAACCAAGCCAGAGGTGCAGGAGTAACGAGGATACACGGCAGAGATGGCCTTGGCTTCCCCAAACAACAGGAAAGGCCTTGACCTCCCCATACAGCAAGAAAGGCCTTGACTTCCCCAAACAATAGGAAAGGACTTGACTTCCCCAAACAACACCTTGACTTCCCCAAACAACAGGAAAGGCCTTGACCTCCTCAAACAGCAAGAAAGGCCTTGACTTCCCCTTGCAGCAGTAAGCGGCTGCTCCCGCACTTCTAAGTTCTGCTGAGCTTATAACAAGAAAAAGCCCTCAGAAACACTCGACTGTATTCAGTGAATCTCTTGGCCACAGCATTTTTGACTGATGCCAACAGCTAGCCAATAAAAACCATGTGGTTCAGTCTGCAGCCATTTGTGCCCAGGTGTCATGGGACCAGGCAATGCTGCGTTCCGTCATGCACATAATGTGTGTTAGGAATCAACTCCAGGATGTCAGACAGCAGCAAGCAGTAGCAACACCAGGGACAGGACAGTTTGTTCTTGTGCCTAAACCAACGTCTTTTCCAGCGACACCTGGGCCTTACAGTCCCCTTTCAGGAGCAAAAAGGAAGGTTTTCTGAATTTTGGTAAGGCATCAGTTCATCACAATCCCGTGATACTGGCAATGGCTACATCAGCAAATATATATTAGGGGTTGTTTTACTCTGTGATCGCATTGTTGTTGAGCCACAAGGGATGAAAACAAAATATACTTAAATGGATCTGTCACTTCACTCTTTCCCCACGGTCTGGCTTGCCTTGGTGGAAGAAACTAACATAATTGATTACTGTTTTAAAATGTTTTTGTTTCCTTCTTGCAAGGTCAGTTGGTGATGAACTTCAGCATCTTGGCATTCTGGTTTTGTGATATCCTAAAGCTAATATTACCCATAGCAAAGCTTTGTCCACCAAGTTCATTTCTTTAGCACACGCTATTGACACTACTGGAAAGCTCCTCTTTGCTTTTAAATCATTATTTTCTTTTTTAATGTGCTTTCAAAGGTTCTAGACTATTTCTAGTGCCTGACTTTCTAGCTTTGGGAAGGCCAAGACAAATCCTATTCAAAAACTTACCCAGGACTTGGTGGGCTGATAATCTTCCATTTCATAAGATTAATATTCATGGGGGTCTTTACAAAGAGACGTCTCTGCAGAAATCGTGAACTTCAAAGGAGCAGGAAATGAGTGACTAACATGCCCGTGACTTTTCTTTTTTATTTCTTATGCATCGTGGTAGCAAGAATGGTTGAAAACAAAAATTTAAAAGCTAAATTGGAACAAAAATCATTCTGGAGTGATCCAGTTCTAGAGCTGATGAGCAGAGCTGGGAAGGAGAATTTGTTCCTTTCTGATAAGATATAAATAGTTGCTGGGGGGGGGGCTTAAAATAAGATTCTCCTCGGAGATTTCCTAATCCCCCTTTTGAAGAAGTTTGAGCCGTTGAGCCAGGCAGACCAGCATTTTGGAGCTGAAGTGCCTGGTTCTTGGAAAAGACAACCCCATTGTGCATATAAAAGCTTACCTACCTGCGGGCCAGGACTCAGACCTGTAGCATTTGCCAATTCCTGTGGTGTCAATACTACTACCTCACCAACATCAGGATCCCCGCATAACACTGCGCGCTGTCATCAAGTGCAGTGAACCACTCCAACACCACCATGTAAAGCACAGTACCGAGCTCAGCCTGGAGAGACAGCCTCTCAGTTTCCAGCCCACTTCTGAGCTGGGGGTCTTCAAGCATCATTGATTCCCCCTGAGCTTCAGATTCCAATGTGAGAAACGAGAGAATGCAGAGTGCTGTGAGGGGAAAATAAGATTCTGTCTCTAAGTCAATTCCTACTCAGCATTCCTATGAGGACAGAGCAGAACTGCCCCTTGGGCTTGGAAGGCAGTAAATCTTTATGAGATCTGTCTCATCTTTCTTCCGGAGAGAAGCCAATGGGCTCCCACTTCTAACATTTCAATAGCAATCCACCATGTGACGCAGTTTGCCACCAGGACTTTGCTTTCTCTTATAAAACACTTAGAACAACACATGGTGAATCTAAGTAACTGTTATCCATTTGAAGTCTGGCTAGTCCTGGGTAGTGCCCAGAGTTCTTGTACTTAGAACGAGGGTTCGAGTCTTCTACCAGAATGCTGGAAGTCTGACTTCACCCACAGGTACCTCAGAAGAAAGACCTGGCTGGGAAAGTTTTCTTGAGAATCATAAGAGGGCTCATTCTGCTTTCTGTCTGTTGCCTAATCCTGAGAAGAGGCTTCATTGTGGCCTGTGCATCTGCGTACTCATAAAGCATCCATCCTGGGCCAAGCCTGGTCGCCCGCTGTAGACAGCTGAAGGGAGAGAGGGACAGTACTCACAAAGGGACAGACAGCTTCTTTGAACTTAACTGAGAAAGGGGGGGGGGGAAACACACCAATGATTGGGTTCTTGAGACACTGTCATGCCAATTCCACCTTACCTCCTCTCAAACTCATTGCCACCAGAACCCACTTATGACTGACCATCCCTCGGGTTCCCAGAGGCTGTAAATCACACGGGGCTTGTCCTTCCTCGGAGCCACTGATGGATTCGAACCACCGGAGAGGCACCACGTTGGGGTTTGCAACCCAACTCCCTGCAGACTCCACCACCAGATCACCCTTCCGGTTTCCTGCTTGCGTCGAACATCACTGCTCATCTGTCCCACCGCCAGGCCCTTGCCCAATCTCTCTTGTCTCCTCTCTCCTCCTAGACTTCAGACCTTGTGGAGGTTCCTGAAGAAGCTGATGTGCCAGGCGGCGGGTGTGACCCAAGGAAGCGTAGCAACAGTGGAGAGTCAGGTACTGTCACAGCACGGGATCCCTTTAATCGTCAGGTGCTGTCTGTAGAGGACCTCCCCCCTGCCCCATTTCATTTCTCCCTGGGCAGGTGCCCAGTGTTCCAGAGGAAACTGATCATGGTTGGTCATTTCAGTGCTCTGACCGTGTGGACAGGTTGGGGTTACGAACGTCCAACCCACTGACATCTCACTCTTGCCCTTTAATGTTAAGTAAATGTGCTCTCCTTTCAAACAACTGAGCCTTCAATCCAACAAATTCATCACAGTCACCGTCACTTGCTGCACATTCAGCTTTAAATCACTGAAAAGGCTTCAAGCTTTTTCTTTCTCTAAAGTAAGACTAAATAAAAACCCTATGTACCCGTTCCGATTTACCTATACATTTTATTTTAAAGACTTCAACTTGAAGACGTTGTTTGGAACGGATTTCGTTTGTAGCCCAGGGACTGGCTATAATATTTGAAATTGGTCTATTGAATTCTCATATTTTAAGGACTTAGCTTTACTGGTTACTTGCAGAACTTTGTGTCAATCCACCAGACCTCAGTGAGATTCGCAAACCAGTCAGCAGAAGTGTCAGTTCATGCTGTAGCGGCGGTGACTGCACACACAGAGGATAGTCCCAGAGACAGGAATGTGCGCCTCACCCTTGGCTCTTCCCTCCTCTGAGATTGCTGACCGCCAAAAGCCGACAGACACAATCCAGCCAAGCATTCCTTAGGAGCACGACTTAGCTTTCTCAGGGACCAGGCAACTTTTCATTCTGTTCCACTCAAGGTCCCATTCGTCAGAATCAAGTTGATATCAACTAACAGCAATGACCTTGACATAATTTGAAGCCCCTTGTTGACATAACTTATAAAATATGTAGTAAATGCCAACTATATGCTCTTGCTTGCTAACACTTAGAAATAAGTAAGTCTCTTAAACCAGATCCAACCCAAAGAAACATAAGAATAGATTGCATTCTTGCTGAATTTTTTTTGGCATCACTAACTACTCAAACATCATTTATTTATTTTTAAATTTTTTATTATAGTGTGTGTGTGTGTGTGTGTGTGTGTACCGTCAAATCAGATCTGACTGGTACAAGAGGAGATTGCCCCTCCTTCTCCAGCAGAGCATCTGGTGGATTTGAACTGCGTACCTCTCTGGGATTGCAGTGCAGCTTCTTTCCACTAAAGCCACCAGAGCTCCCTTCATTTATTTTTTTTTAAGTGATGTGCATGAAAAGTGAAAGGGGGAGGCGTATACATGTGTATGTATATTTTAAGCATGTGCTGTCAGCGTATACATATGTATATATGTAGTATGTGTTGTCATCAACAACTACTAATCATCAGTCAGTTTGCTGTACTCGTGTGTTGCTCAGGTCATGGAAACTAAGCGACCTGTTTTTCAAGAACCAGCAAAGTTACCCGTGCTGGGCTTGTTCCAGTGGAAATTCCAGACCAAGAAGTAGGACTGGCCCTTCAATGCTAAGGGAGCCCTGGAGACCCTGAGCGTGGACTGAGAGTGCCCCGGGAGATGAGCCCCTCGGGCTGGAAGGCACTGAAGTATCACAGAGGACGAGAAGCCCCCTCAAAGCAGAGTCAACCTGACGGATGCGGATGGAGTCAAGCTTTCACCCACTGAGGGACCTTCGTTTACTGATGACAGGGCTCAAGATGGGACGAAACAGCTGTCAATATCCACCCATTAATTACTGGAACGTGGAAGGTGCAAAGTGTGCGTTGAGGGAAACTGGCAGATAATATTGCCGGCATGTTATTAGGAGTGACCTGTCCTTATTAGAAAAGGACATCATCCTTGGAGAAGTAGAGGGTTGGCAAAGGAGAAGCAGCCTTACGATGAGGTGGGACTGAGCCCTGCCATGGGATTGCCACAGAGACTGCAACAATGCACTGAGCACGGTATCGACCTGAAGACTGGTGCAGGTTAGGGCACGATTGGGATCCCTTGGTCACAGGGTTGCTGTGGGGTGGAGCTAACTGGGCAGCAGCAGGAAATGGAGGTTGCACAACTTTTCTTCACGTCACTCAGACTCTTGTAAGACTTCAGGGCTTCCCCTCGTGCTGTGTCGTTATGACCGAGGTGACCCCTCCCAGCTTTCTTCCACTCGAGGGCTCCGTGGATGGACACTCCACTTGACGAGATGCCCTGGTCTCTGCTAGACAGGAAGGAAGCACAAATTCTACACTAGGCATCAGACAGCTGTTTTATTATGGAGTCCTGGTGGCACACATATTTAAGCATTTGACTCTAACCTAAAGCTTAGACGTTTGAGCCCAGCCAGAGGTATCTCTGAACAAAGACCTAGTAATCTGCTACTACAGGGAAATCTCGTGGAAACCCTGTGGAATCATTCTATTCTGACACGTGTGAGGTCTCCATGCGTTAGACCCAACTCCACAGCACCTGGATTGGTTTTGATAGGGGATTTTTGTTCCTTTGGGGGGGGGCAGGGTTAAGTGATTGGTTTTGTTGGGACTTTCTTACAAAATATCGCTTCTACTTCACCAGAAGTCAGGAAATTAAAACAAGTATCATGTTGGGAAAGTCTGCTGTCAGAGACCTCTCCAAAGTACTGAAGAGCAACGATGTCAGTCTGGAGACTAAGGTGCACCTGATACAGGCCATGGTCTTTGCAGTCACTTGTTATGCATCAGAGAGTTGGACAATGACTAGGGAGGATAGAAGGATAATTGATGCCTTTGAGTTGTGGTGCTGGAGAAGAGTATTGACTCTACCATGGACTGCTAGGAGAAGGAACAGGGGTTCATCCTGGAGATGGTAAAATTGGGCTGTTTCTTGGAGGCAAGGATTCTGAAGCTTCTGACATACTTTGAACATGTAACAAGGAGGGGCCAGCCCTTGGAGAAGGACATCGTACTTGGGAGGGTAGAAGGAGAGGAAGATGAGTCACAGGCAACTTGATGGCACATAGTAACAACTTCACTCTAGAATTCATTCTCCCTCTTCTCAAGCAAGGACTATGCCTGTGTGGTTCCCACAAAGCAACATGGTTTTCACTTTCCCCCTACAACTCGATTTCCTAAAGAACTGCTCATGTTCCCTGTGGGCGCTCTTGCCCGCCCCACATGCGTCATTTGAAGCTCATTGCTGGTATAAGAATTCAGCACCATGTGGAGAAAGCCCAGCTTTTAGATCAATACAAACGTGTGTTGATCACTTAGCAAACAGCGCCATTAGGGAGCCAGTGAGAGTGCTGGGTACCAGGCAGAGCATCACCGCGGGGCAGTCACGTGGCAGCATCATCCCAGCCACGGTCCCCCCAGCATCGCAGGGCCAGCAACTGAATATGCCCAGCAATCTCAGATTTCCTCAGGGTCTGAAAACCTAATTCGTCAGAAAGTGATATTTAAAATTGTTGTTGTTTTTCTTGTTGTTGTTGTTGTTGTGTGCCAAGGAGTAGGGACCAATGCACAGCTGACCCTCCAGGGGTTTTCAGGGGCAGTAAGTCACCCAGAAGATTACTTTTCATTCTTCCGATGTCGAAAAGACTTGCTGTGTTAATTCTTCAATCTAGCCAGTGCTTCATTCTTCTGAGCCTGGTCCCACCACCATTGTTCACCTAATGCCATTCTCATCAGCATCACCGCTGGTGGCCTCCCTCCAACCAATGACACCAGACAGATGGCAACTTCTTTCTGCCATGCTCTGAAGACCAACTGCCAGATTTAAGGAGTCTGTGCCCTTGAGCAGTGACAAGTCTCTCCCTTCTCTCCTCACCCCAGTTACATCATCTCTAAGAAGATAAGAATAACACTAAATCCACTGGGCCATTGTGATCTTTAAATAAGATAATAGATGCAAATAACATCCATATATTTATGACTCCAAACTTCATTTCCTGCGGGGGGAAAAAGGGGGGTAGCACAGATAGAAGATGCAGGAAGGTAATTTCAACTGAAGGCCGGAGTCCATGCTGCTGTTTAACCACAGATTCGAGAAACCTCCTACATCTTATCTTGGGGTTGCTCTGATCTCTTGAAGGAGGTGATACCTGAACTTGCCCTTAATATGTGAGTGAGTTTGTACAGGTTCATATGGATGAGAGAGGAGTTGAACCGTCCAGCATCGGAAATAGCATCATGTAATCAGAAGCATGAGGTAACTCGTGGTTGCTGTGATGCTGAACACTGTGACAGTGATGTGCCAATCGTGGTAATGGACACCCATGGTGGACAGTGTTGGCTGGAGCTTCCCGACTAAATCAAGCCTGGAAGCAGGAGCGGCATCCACTTCTGAAATGGCTTACCTCCGGAAACTCTATGTACAAAAAGTGCTCAGGCCGTTCATTCATAGGGTCGCTATGAGTCATCTACGACTCAATGGCATCAAACAACAACAACAACAATCAGAAGCATGGAAGTCTTTGGTGAAAAAAGACTGACTGATGCAATTGACCTGGAGCGCATGTTCTGTAAGGGAGAGAATTAGAAGAGAGAGGCTGATCAAGAGTCTGATAGCATAGTTGGTACTGCTGAAAACACTTCCATGTTGAACGTGGTATTATTTGTCCTGATTCCTGCCCCAGTGATGCTATTGTTCACCCATTCTTTTAGAAGATATGACCTCTCCTTGCCTTTGTTCTTGTTGGTTGCCATCAAGTCGAGCACAACTCACAGCAACCCTATGAACAAAAGCCCTGAAGCCCCTCTACAACTATCGACATTTATCAAAGTTCATAGAGTTTCCGGAGGCATGTTATTTAGGAAGTGGATGCCACTCCTGTTCTCTAAAAGGTGGTCTTAATAAGATTTTCACATTAAGTCTTAGACTAGGCAGAGAAGCCATGCTGCATGGATGGATGGATGGATGGATGGATGGATGGATGGATGGATGGATGGATGGATGGATGGAGAGGAAAAGAGACCTCGCAAAGACCTGGCTTACTTGTTTGTAGAGGATGGCTAGTCCCACATCTGAGGGGCAGACATGGCTTGAGGCTTCTCCTGACTCCTGTAACTGCAGAAC